TGTTCCTTAGTTTCCTTTTAGTTTACTTTCCATTAGCAAGATTACCTGTTCTCTCAATTGTTCTGTAACTTTTTATTCCTCTTATTGTGTCTTTCAGGATCTCAAGACGACGAGGAAGATTGGTACAGGGCATGAAGCTGGTGGCCTATATTACCTCAATTTTGATTCACCTACCCGGGCTCTATAGACCTCGTTATCTCCTTTTCAATGGCATTGTCGTCTTGGACATCCCTCTCTCCAGAATTTGAAGCGTCAAGTTCCCAGTCTTAGTTATGTGTCGTCTTTGTCCTGTCAAGCTTGTCAACTTAGTAAGCATCACCGTGTGTCATTTCAGTCTAGAGTCAATAATCGTGTGTCTAGTCCATTTGAATTAGTTCATTCTGATATATGGGGTCCAATAAAGAATGTTTAATCTAATAAATATTTTTATTTTGTGTCATTTGTGGATGACTATTCTCGTGTGACTTATTTGTTTTTGATGAAATCTCGGTTTGAATTATTCTCTATATTTGAGACTTTTTGTAATGAAATAAAAATCCAGCTTGGTTGTTGTATACGTACTTTACATTCTGATAATGCTCGGGAATATGAATCTAATCCTTTTTCAGCTTATCTTAGTAAAACTGACATTATTCATCAGACTTCTTGTACTTACGCCTCTCCACAAAATGGTGTTGCTAAATGCAAGAACCGTTATTTGTTGGAAGTTACCCGTACTTTGTTATTCCAAATGAATATTCCTCGATATTTTTGGAGTGATGATGTTCTTACTGCTTGTCATCTTATTAATCGTATGTCATCCTCTGTGTTAAATGGGCAAAGTCCATATTCTGTTCTTTTTTCTGATAAGCCCTTATTTTCCCTGACTCCTAAGGTTTTTGGATGTGTCTGTTATGTTCACAATTTGGATCTTAGGTTTGACAAACTTGACCCTCGAGCTACCAAATGTGTATTTCTTGGTTACTCCCGCACACAGAAGGGATATCGTTACTACAGTCCTTCTGTGCACCGATACTTTACTAGTACTGATGTCACGTTTACTGAATCTGTTTCATACTTTCCAACACCTTTTCAGCCTTTGGATCTGGACTTTGAATCATCTCTTGTACCGCCATCTCTTTCTTCATCTTCAGATATTTCGCTACCCACTGTGTTATCATCTACTTTGCCTCTCCGTGTCTACTCTTGCCGTCCTCGCCCATTCACTGAGGTGCCCGTACCGTCTTCCTTGCCGCCTTTTGATCCGGTATATCAGGTAATTTAGATTCTTTACCTATTGCCTTCGCAAAGGTACTCGTTCGTGTGTTACTAATCATCCCATTTCTCATTTTGTTTCATATGATGCCTTGTCTCTTGTCTTCTCCTGTTTTATTTCCAAATTATCAGCTATATCTATTCCTAAGCATTTACAGGGTGCATTATCTGATCCGGGTTGGAGGAAAGCTATAAAGGAGGAGATGGATACTTTACATCATGATAGGACTTGAAATCTCGTTCCTTTACCCCCTGGTAAACGAACTGTTGGCTGTCGTTGGGTGTATACTGTTAAATTTCATCCAGATGGTTCTGTGGAGCGTCTCAAAGCTCGGCTTGTTGCGAAGGGCTTTACTCAGACTTATGGTGTTGATTATGAGGAGACTTTTTCTCCTGTTGTTAAAATTTCTTCTGTTCGTCTCTTGATTTTTTTTGCTACTAATCTTGATTGACCCTTGTTTCAGTTAGACGTCAAAAATGCCTTCCTACAGAGTGACTTGGTTGAAGAGGTATACATGGAGCAGCCACCTGGGTTTACTGCTCAGGGGGAGTATGGTAAGAGTGTATGTCGGTTAAAAAAATCTTTGTATGGTTTGAAGCAATCACTGAGGGCATGGTTTGATAAGTTTTCAGATACAGTTTTAGAGTTTGGTCTTCTTCGATGTCAGACAGATTATTCTGTGTTTCATAGATAGACAGATGTTGAATATGTCCTATTGGTGGTCTATGTAGATGATATTGTGATTACTGAAAATGATTCTGAGGGGATTGCCAAGTTAAAAATATTCTTACAGGATCGATTTCATACTAAGGATTTGAAAAAACTCAGGTATTTCTTGGTATTGAGGTGGCTCGATCTAAACAGGATATTTGTTTATCCCAGAGGAAATATGTACTTGACATGCTTTAGGAAGCAGGTTTACTAGGTGGTAGACCGATTGATGTTCCTATGAATTCGAATCAAAAATTATTGATGGATGATGGTGCATTATTTGAGAATCCGGGTCGATATCGTAGATTGGTTGTGAAGCTTAATTATCTCACTATTACTCGACCGGATATTTCCTATGCAGTCAGTATAGTAAGTCAGTTCATGGGATGTCCTAGAGTACCACATTGGGAGGCAGTTACTCGTATTCTGTGATATCTCAAACGAGCTCCTGGACTTGGACTGTTATATCGAGCTAATAGACATCTTAGAGTGGAAGGTTTCTCAGATGCTGATTGGGCTGACTCTCCTTCTGATTAGAGATCAACTACTGGTTATTGTACTTTCTTAGGAGGTAATGTTGTCTCGTGGAAAAGTAAGAAGCAACCCGTGGTAGCAAGATCCAGTGCTGAGGTTGAGTATAGGGCAATGACACATACGACGAGTGAGTTGACTTGACTACTACACTTCCTCTAGGAAATTAGGTTTCCAGTTCAATTTCCTTTATAGTTGTTCTGTGACAACCAGACAGCTATCCATATCGCTGTCAATCCTGTGTTTCACGAGAGAACCAAGTATATTGAGATTGATTGTCACTTTATTCGGGACAAGATAGTTCTTGGGGATATTACTACTCTATTTGTGAAATCTGAAGATCAACTTGCAGATATGTTTACCAAAGCATTTGAGCCATACACGTCTTACAACTATTTGTTCCAAGCTTGGATTATATGATATATATAGTCCAGCTTGAGGGAGAGTGTTAAGAATAATAGGGTAGTATGTGTAAATTATAGATAGTAAGAGGGTATATGTGTAATTCTTATTATTATAGGTTAACTATAAATACAAGTGATATATGAGAGTTAGGTTAAGTTTTTAACTTCTCTTTGTTTCTCCCAAAATATATTGTCTCTAATATTATGTTAATCTTCCAAACTTAACACATAATAAACCATCCTAACAGGTATCATTCTTGATTAATTTGTTAGAAATAATTCAAACTATGCCTCTGCTTAGGATGGTTTAATTTCAAAATAAAGCTGATTTTAGTTGTTAGACTTAGATTAGAGTTGATTTAGTCAATAAGTTTAAATTTAAGTTGTTGCTAATACATCTCATGCAATGCCACATGTCGTGTTGGCACCTCTATTTAAGAAGCGATTGTGCAGTTGACTAGGATGTGAAAAAAGAAGGGCAGAAAAAAATTCAGAACCCATTCTTGTCTACTGTTGCCAAGCCTTGTGCCCAATCCCATTATCTTCTTGCACTTTATTTCTTACTTTGTCTCCTTGTTTCTATCCAATTGGCCACAAAGCCTATCAAAATTTCAACATTTGGTATCAGAGCAAGTTCTGATCAACCGGGATTAAAGCAACTTTTGTTCGTAAGGTAACCAAAGTAAAACAGCAGCCAGCTTCAGGTAACAACCCTCAATCAAGTATTCCCATTTTCAAAGGAGAAAATTATCAATTTTGGAGTATCAAAATGAAAACTGATCTATGGGAACTAGTTCAAAGTGGTTACACAGACAATGACAATCAAGAAGAAAGAATTACAGCTGCTCAAAGAACAGCGATGAAAGAAAACGAGAAAAAAGATGCTAAAACTTATCATTCATTCAACAAGCTCTACATGTTATGCCACGGATACTGGGAGCAAAAACATCCAAAGAAGCATGGGAGTTGCTTCAAAATGAATATAAAGGGTCAAGTCAGGTAATCAACTCAAGACTACAAACTCTTTGTCATGGATTTGAAACAATGATGATGAAAAAATTGGAGTATATTCATGATTATCTCACTAGAATTACTTCCATTTTCAATCAAGCAAGGTCTCTAGGTGAAAATCAAATGGATCAAAAAGTTGTTGAAAAGGTTTTGAGAAGGCTGGCCCCAAGTTTAATAGTGTTGTTGTTGCGATTGAGGAATCAAAAGACTTGGCTGCTTGGTCTTTCACTCATTTAAAGGGCTCTTTGGAAATACATGAAGAGAGGCTTACATTTCTGTTGAAGATGTCGGGGAGCAAGATTTTTCTGCAAAACATAATTATAAAAGAGGTATAAATCAAGGGAAAAAATCACTCAGGGTTACTACAACAAAGGTATTGCTAAATGCTTTAATTGTAAGAAAGGTCACATTGAAAAAGATTGTTGGCACAAAAATGAAAATTCTAACATCCCTCGTTGTTCCATTTGTAAGAAATATGGACATGCAGAAAAAGAGTGTTACGCATAATCATGAGAATCATGCAAATTTTCATGAAGAAAAAATTGTTGATGCAAAGGAAAATGAGGAACCCTTGTTTGTAACTTGTTTTGCTGCCACGGCAAAGAATGTTTGGTACCTAGATAGTGGTTGTAGGAACCATATGACTGGTAATAAATCTATGTTTGTTGAAATTGATGAGTCTGTGTGATCTCAGGTTCGAATGGGAGATGATAGCAAAGTTCAAGTTCAAGGCAAAGGAGTTGCTTCTGTTGACGTCAAGTTCAGTAAGAAATTGATTCAAAAGGTTATGTATGTTCCGGAATTGACACAAAATTTGATTAGTTTGGGACAACTTATGAAAATGGTTTTATGCTGTTTTTGATGGTGGAAGATGCATGCTATTAAACAAAGCAAAGAAAAAGATCTTAATGTCTCTGAAAATGACTGAAAACTATATATTTCCTCTTGATTTTTCTGAGCTCATCCTTGATTCATCAGGTTTTGGTAAAAGAAAAGGTCTCCGAGACAATGGTGACAGCAAATTTCCTAGAAATACTCCTAAAAGTTCAGCTGATTTGATGATTTCCACGAGGTAAAAAGTTTGACAGGTCAAGGAAGAATGAAGCAATAGATGTAAAGAAACATCTGGAGAAAGAAGTTCCTACACAAAAGAGAAGTGCTCAACAATTTGAAAAGAAGAAAACTCAAGTTGACTACTTGGCAAATTGTGAAGCTACTCAAGCTTGGATTCCATGTGTTGATTCAATGAAGAAGAAGGATCAAGCTGCTATAGTCTGAATTAAGGGGGAGTATGTTAGAAACAATTCAAACTAAGCCTCTGTTTAGGATGGTTTGAATTTCAAAAATAAAGCTGATTTTAGTTGCTAGACTTAGATTAAAGTTGATTTAGTCAATAAGTTTAAATTTGAGTCGTTGCTAATACATCTCATGTAATGCCACATGTTGTGTTGGCACCTCTATTTAAGAAGCTATTGCAGCTGACTAGAATGTGAAAATAGAAGGCCAGGAAAAAAAATTCAGCAACCCATTCTTGTGTACCATTGCCAAGCCTGGTGCGCATTTTTTATTTTATTTCTTACTTTGTCTACTTGTTCCTATCCAATTCGCTTCAAAGCCTATCAAAATTTCAACACAATTGGGGGTTTGGTTTGTTGCTGCCTCTTTGACAAAAGATGGACCTAGACTTTTAAATTTTATATGTTATTCCTTTCATGTTTGCCAGTCTAAACTAATGACTCTTACATGGGATTTAACTTCTCTTCTGTCCTGTGTGCACCTGTGGGAATTTAATCAGGTTGATCAGGCTCCTACCAGTCCAGTATCAAAATTACAATCTTATAATACCATTAGAACAACTCAGCCATGAGTTTACACCAAATGTATTTGCCGGAACCACAGAATCATGAAGAATCCTTTTTTATCTGCAAATGCCAAGGTGGAGAGCATAATTGACAGCAACAACTAGATATGATCTCTTTCCTGCTTCAATGTACTTCAGGAAATCCAGAGTTCAATGCCTGCCTATCAGCCACATTCTCAATAAGCTGACCAAGTTCATGAGTTCACTCTCCATCACCAACAGGACATCTCTTCTGTTATGGTCAGTCAATGCCAAGAATGAGTTATACTCTGGTTAACAGTGCTGGGGAAACTGACAGCTAAGGATCGTATCAAAACATTCATGCTGCACATAGGTATCATATGTCTATGTTGCAGGAGTGAGCAAGAAAATCGGAAGCTTCTCCTTTACATTGTTCATTCACTGTTGGGATTTGTAGAAATATTTTGCAGAAGACTTGAGTAACATGGCAGCTCATCATCTGGCCCCAATTTATTCAACGATCTGCTGTAGTTTGGCAAGGTAAATCCCTCGAGAGTGACAGTTCTCAAGCTTTGCTCATCTGCCTCCATCTATGTGGTGTGGAGGGAAAGAAATGCTAGATTATTCAAGAATGCTTATAAAGATGCAACATCCATTTTGAAGGAAGTCACAAATATAGTTCCGTGTCGACTGGTGTCCTTAAAAGCCAGAACTCCCCTCAAAACAACGCAATTTTTCAACTGTGGTGGATCCTCTTTACGACTTGATCAACAATTTCTCTGTTTTCCTTGGCTACATTTGCATATCTAGTGGTTCCATGAGAGTACTCTGCCTATCAAGTTATATCATAACATTGTCTTTGCACCTCTGTTTTGTATGGTGCCTTTTGTAGACTAATTTTGGCGATGTACATTTTGCAAAGCAAGGGAATACAAACTTTACTCACCCACCCAAAAAAAAAAGAGCCTCCGGTTCATGTAATCTTAGTGACCATCTGATTTTCCACTGACCACTGAGCTAAGGTAGGTGGAGTATGAGGTTATCGTGATTGCGGGGTTTTGGAGGTTTAAATGTATACAATATTAGCCTATAGGTGGAGAAGTTGTTTCCACGAGTCAAATTCTTAACGCCTATCTCACAATGGAACACCAAACATCTACTACCCATTTTTCCTACAATTTATAGTTAAAAAAGTTTTAACTACACTCCTTCTAGTTTATCATATCTTTAAAGACACCTCTTCTATTATCTAAAACACCACTGACATCTTTTTAGTTTATATTTAAACATCACAAACACCTTTTGTCATTAAACCATTATTTCTAATAAATTTTTTTATCTAAAATACCAAAAATTACCCCTACATAAAACTCAAATAATTTTTTTATAAAAAATTTGATTAAAATTCTAGTCGATTAAAATTTATCTTTTTACATATTAAAATTCGAGCTGATTAAATATTTTTTTTACATATTAAAATTTGACCTGATTAAAATTCGATTTGAATTGTTTATTTTTTTACGTATTAAAATTGGAGCCGATTTGAGCTCAACCTGACCTATTAGCGTCGATTAAAATTCAATCCAAGTAGATTAAAATTTATATTTTTTTACTTACTAAAATCTGTGCTAATTAAAATTCGATTCAAGTCGATTAAAATTTATTTTTTTACTTATTAAAATTTGATTAAAATTCAATGCGAGTTGATTAAAATTTGATTCGAGTTGATTGAAAACGAATTTTATTCTGCTCAAATAGAATTTTAGTCGGCTCGAATTTTAATATGTAAAAAAATTTATAAAATAGAGGAATCTCATTGAAGATATGTCTATTTAGAGGGAGTATAAATGAAATTTTTTTAAAAATATATCATTAATAATTTAATAAAATTATATTCTAATTAAGGTCTTTAATCTGACAGTGAGTATTAGTGAAGATTTAGAAACTAAAAGAGGAATTCATCAAAATATGATAAATTAGAGGAGATGTGACTAAAATTTTCCTTTTATAGTTTTATAGTTAAATTCATACTCATAGGGCGAAGGAGTAAGGAAACAAGAAGACAAATGGAGGCCCATGGAGAGGAGTTTGAATCTGTTTTTGGGGGCAAGTGATTAGAGTTGAATTTGGCTGTTAGGCAAAGGGCACATGGGAAGAGACAATAACTCAATTAATGGGGTTTGATATTATATTATTATTATGGGACCACATCGGGGGGTCCATTGCATCTTATAGTCACGTGCCACATGCACATGCTAAGGCTAGATACATTAAATGTTAATGAATTTGTATATCAATTAGACATTTAGATTAGATTCAAACAATAGTTTCAAAAGCAAATTTAGATTCCAATCAAAATGGAATAAAATTTGAATTTGACCAATTGACAAGTTTATTTTTTGCAATGTCATACATAATTGATGGTACTTAATAAATCGTGTCAAAATTAAATTAACTCATACACAATTTATTTATTAAGTAACTATTATTTTGGTTAGTGAGAAAAAAATGGTAGAAAATAAAAATAATAGAAAGTGAAATAAAATAAAAGAACTTACCAAAAAAAAAAAGAAGTGAAAGAAAAAAAATGAATGAAAATATATTTTCACATATGTATTTGATTAGCATGAAAAGTTTTCAAGAAAATTTTTAATTATAATTTTTTTTAATTGTTTAAATTATCTTTAATTATGTTAACTCAGTCTAAAGAATAAAAAAATATGTATTATAATTAATAATTATTTTTTTTAAAAAAAATTGGCCCCTAACCTGGGTTTAAGACAAGGATTGACCCCAACTCAAATTTAAACTAGATAATATGATTAGCTTAATTCATATCAAAATTTTCAAAATTAATAACTAATTTAATATTTAAGAAAAACAAGGATAAAATAAAAAGTTAGGTTATTGATTACAATTTTCTTGTTTTTCTTTGTATTTTTTTTTAAAAATTTAGTTAGTTGTGAAAAGATCTAAGTATGATGAAAAATTATTTTTTATTTTAATACTAACTAAATATATAAAAAAATTTAAAAAAAATTATTTCTTATGTTTTTT